AGCCATGAGGGCAGAGGTTATCTACTAACTTAACATCCCACCAAAAAAAAAAAAAAAAAGGAGGAGGAGGAGGAGGAGGGAAAGGAAAATAAGATGAAAACCAGCCAGTAAGTATCTAGGTAAGTTTAAGTTTAAAAAAAATAGTATGTTTTAAATTGAGATAATATTTATCTACCAACCACCCATTTTATTCTACAGCAACAGATGATGGAGGATGTAAATATAGTAGAAAGTTGCCTTTCCTTCTTTCTATGTCAATTTCAATAAATATCTATTAAGTGTTTGCTATATGCTAGGCATTGGACTAGGCTGAATAATATTGTTTCCACTTAACAGAATTTATATTCTAGCTCAGAAGTCAGACAAATAGGCAAATAATGATGATGGAATGGGCTAAGTACCACCATATAATTTTATGTACAAATTGTCATGGGACCCTTGTGGAAGGAGGCACATAATTTTAATATAAATTAAATTTTCAGGAGCCAGAAAGATCAGTTTGATCTTGATAAAATGAGACCCTAAAGTACATACAACCAAAGTCAACAAATATTCCTCCCTGTAGTTTCTAAACATTTTTAGGATCCAAACAGAATCATTTTTCTTGTGCCCTCCGTTTTACATGAGACAGAAAGATGCTAAATAACTCAATGTAGTTTTCATAAGTGGTTTTTCCTGTCTGCTGTTTATGACTGTCCTTCCAAAATAATGACTATTTGAAATTATAAATCAAAGCTTTGCTTAAACGTTTGTTGTGAAGGAGACTGTTTCCTCTCTGAGATAAAATCCTGAGCCTCAATTGCATGGTAGCACACAAACAGTGGATTAAATCTGGATAGTGGCTGTGAAATAAAATATGTGTAGACTTTAATCTTGTGGAAATTCAGATACAATATGGGACAAATGGAAAGTTCAAATGATGATAGAACATCTAATTTTATTATTAATAGATTTCTAATAAAGAAATTTGAATCATTCACATTCTTTAAGGAATTTATAGATTGTTCTTGGTCTTTAACTGTGTCCATGTATATGGCATTCAGCATGTTGCTTTTTACATAGTAGGTGTTCGATCCATATGTGTACAATTAAATGTTAAATGTAAAATTCTTAGGATCCCCCTGAATTTTTATCAGATATTCATGTCTTTTTTTTAAAAGTAAGACACTATGAGGTTGCCTTGTATTCTTCAATATAGTCGGACATCATTGTTCCAAGAGGACTAAAAATGGGGCCTAATCTACAGATAAAGTTTCATCTTTGTAATAGCAATAATCCTCTAACTTGGCCTCTTTGACCTAAGGTGGGCCTTTTTCAGAAGAAAATTTAAGCCCCTATAAAATATCCTTTAAGGATATTTCCCTTTTTCCAAGGATCATGAAAACCATTTCCATATGACGGGTTATTCTTTATTTTAAATGGGCATTTTCATACCAGCTTCTGAATCAAATTGAAGTACTGGAGCAGAAAGGTATTTAATTTAAAAATATATATACATAATTATATAGAAAGTAAAACACAATAATAAATATATATAATAATAATACTCTAGTGAAACTCTTAGTTCTACTCACCTATTGTATCTATCCACCTATTGGTCCATCTATCTATTATCTGTCTGTCTATAATGATTCAATGGGTAATAGGATCTACTGTTATATCCATTTTACATATAGGAAACTAAGGCTCAGAGAAGTTAAGTAACTTGATTAAGTTGCACAAGTAGTAAGTGGCAGAGCTGAACACCAAGCTCAGAGAGTCTGGCTCCAGAGTCTATGCCTTTAACCACTACTTTAGACTGCTTTTAGCTTCAAGGCCTGGGAGGAGAGAGAAAAGTTCATTTCTTGCTTGACTATTTTTTTCTCTGTATAGATTTAGAGAGATTTGTTCAAGTCTATTGATATGGAAAGCTTTAGGCCGGTAAAGAAATATTTTTGTGCATCTATTATGAGCCAGACATGGTATTAGATATTTTTTTGTGTATAATTTCATGGTATCTTTATTATACTACATCAAGTTATTCAATATTACCCTATTTTACTGATTAGAAAATGGAGCTTAGAGCTTTCCAGGAGCACAACAGGTAGTAAGGGGCTAAGTCAAGATTTAATAGCAGAATTGAGTGCTCTGCCAATACCGTGCACTTAAAAGTCTATAGATCAAATTACAGATAACAGATCATGAGATACTAGCCTTATGTAACCAGAAATCCTTTAAGAAATAGTATTAGAGTTTAAAGAGCTACTCAGAGTTAAGATTTCTGCAAAGGGAATAGATATGGAAAGTTAACTTCCTGTCATAGCCCTATAAATGGGGATATAACCCAGGCTTTGTATCCTACCTTGATAAATATTGTCCTGAAGTGAGATTTGTAGTTTCTATCTCCATGCAATTCATCGTGCTGGGAATGAGAGCAAGTTCTGGCTGGATCATGGTGGCTGTGGCTACAGCTCTTGCGACCAGCTCCATAGCATCTTGTACGTAGTATTCAAAGACAGACTGTGTTGTTTTTCCATGAGCAATGAGCCCTAAGGGCAGACCTTCTGTCCTTAGTTCCTCCACATTCTGGGAATCTCCCAGAATCCAACGAAGTTCAAGGGGTGTTACCCCAACCTGGGTAGTAATTTTGAAAATCCGCCGGATGCTTTCCATGTCGCAGCCAAACATCACCATCGTGGGTGTGCTGTTTTTCAAATTCTCAAGCTGGACCTGTAGGAAGCTCAAGAGGTCCTCATTGGAGGAGAGCTTATCAGTGATGTTGATGATAGACCCAAGATGGAACTTGGAATTGTTCTGGGTAAGGAGGAGGAAGTCGGTGATGTTCCAGTCTTCCTGGCACAGCAACAAGCTAAAATTGTACCAGTTGTTCATGGTCAGGATTGAGACAGTGACATCAGCATCAGAACTTAATGAATTTTCTAAACTCAGTTGTAGGTGAAGGGGATTCTGTATTTGAAGATATGAAAAAGAAGAATTAGAAAGCACTGGCCAAAGAATATATAACATAGGATATATATTTGCTTTCTTATAAGTCTTAATCCTTTATTTTTCTCTGTGATATTCAAATCCTGCTGGGATAAAATTTCCATACTTTGGAAAACTATGCTTCCTGTCTAATGGAACTATTGATTCCCTACAGTTGATTTCCTAATAATTTTTGCTAAGAGTACTAGAGGACAGATGGCTTTTGGTGTAAGTATCAGGGGTGACACAGTCATACATTTGGTCAGGTTTGTCTACTCCCTGATAGACAGTTTCCTTTATGCATCTCATTTCTTAGTATTGCTTTTAACAACTCATTCGTTAAACTTTCCTCTCAGGTTAAATAATTAAAAGAAATTCCTTTTGCTTTCTTTAAAAATTAATAGCAGAGAAAAAAAATTAATAGCAGAGAAATCTCAACACACTGCAGGTGCTTGTATAAGGGTGGTATGGAAGATAGCTGCATCACAGTTTCCTAAACTTCTGACCCCTTGAGGAAGGCACTGTTAATATATATATAGAATAATTAGCAATCTATACACCAAAATTAACTGAAGTCCAATGTTAAAGGCTTGATTACATTCTGTATCTGCTGAGCCTGGATTCTTGCTGTGAAAAGTGAAATGTGTGCCACTAAGCCCTTATGTAACTTCCATCACAATTTCACCTACTCATGGAACTCACCAACTCAACAGAGGAAGAGTTTCTTATTTGAAAAGTTGCAAATTGTAACTAATACAGTTGAAGTGGAAATACTCTTCCAATGAATAAATTTTTTAATTGTTGTTCCCAAGGACAGATGTTTGGCATATTTATCATTTAATACTGGTATCTCGAGAATGTTTAGCACAATGCTTCATATGTACACAATAAATATTGGTTGAATTGAACTCAATATATTTTTATTGGGAACTACAGGGTTATTTCTGAGAGCTTGCCAACATTCAAATCAATAATATGCACTGAGAAATGAAGAGGGCTTTTTTGGTAAAATTTCAAGCCCTTGTATTAAATGAAAAAAGTGTGGACTGTCTCTACCCATCAAAAAAATTTGTAACAAGAAATAGGATTTGAGCTGAATTTTGAACTCTTTGAAAGATTGAAAGGACTTTGATATGTGTAGAATAAAAAACAAGGATTCCAAGGATGTCTACGGGAGGAAAACTATGACTGCAAGTAGGAAAGGAGAATACTCTGGGTGGTAGGTAGGTTGGAGTCTTAAAATTTATTCTGAGAATTTGTCTTTTGTTCTTCCAAATTCAGCTTTTGAGCAAGGCTTGTAATGATAAAAACAGAGCTTTGGAAGGCTCACTTATGGGAAGCATTCAACAGCAAGGGGGAGAAAAGCCCTCCAGGATCTAGCTGCTCAGTGCTTGAACTGGAAGCTAGTGTTGGTAATAGTAGGGAGGGTGATGAGAAAAGGTTTTTTACAATTAAAAAGAATTTAGTGATAAGATGTGAGAGGCAAAAGAGAGAAAGATGTCAAAACCCAGGAGATAGTCTCCTGTAGTAGCTTTTTTGTTTCTAGGCTTGAGATGCCAGGAAGGACCTTGAGGTGGGAGGAATGGAAGCTTCACTTCCTCATTCTTTCTTTTTATTTATATAAATTGCTCCAGATAGTTCTTTCTGTCTTCCTCTTTCAGCTTTCTTCCTTTCCTTTTTTTTGTTTTTTTTTAAATTTCTTCCTCTGTCTCAAGCCTCTTCCAGAAGCAAAGAGCAATGGAAGGCAAGCTCTATATTTAGCTGGCAGGAACAAATTATTCCCAACAGTTTTCTTGGCTTCAGCTCCCTATTCTGTTGCCAGTTTTCTTTCTAAAACACAAATATAATGATATTATTCTCCTGCACCATAACCTCTAAATCACCCATAGGACAAATTTCAAAATCAATAGTATGGCTTAGGAGGCAAGGATGAGATTGTTCTCTCCTTGCTTAATAAGAAGTTAAATTAGCGAATCATAGTGAGCATTTAGCACCAAACAGAGAAACAAATGCATTTGGCCTTAGAGGGACGTGAGAGTGAAGTGAAGACCCCTCACCCCCACCAATGAGTAATGATCAATTCATATAATGACACTCATCCCTACAAACGATCCTGTTGAGAAATTCCAGATGTTGAAGTTAATCTTTTCACAGACTTAAGAGGTACAATTCTTCAAACAAATATTTATTAAATAATGGTTTAGAAGGATCTAATGATATATTATTTATCTAGTGGCCCTAGATGCAGTATCTTCCAGTTTCTCCCTTTATAATGACAAAGGCACACTCACAAATATATAAAGACTTCTAACACTAAAATTTAAGCTTGATAGTAAAACTTTTGTTAAAATCTGAGGCAAAAATTAGACTTATTGAGCCAAATTGAGAATCAAAATATGTGCCTTACATATGATTTACTGTTTGCAAAAGAGCAGACCCGTGGCCTGAAAGAAGGTGTAAAGATTTGTGAACTAAAATAAAATTTTAAGACTCACCCCCCACCCGCTTACAGAATGGATCCCCTTGTGGCCAAAGGAATGTCCTAAAACTAAATTGCTTGCCAGGAGGAAGGAGGTCAGACATGCCTTGTCATGTCCCCCTCCCTTCTTGGGGACATCCTCGTAACCCATTAACAGGCCTAAGGCTGTGCAAGATAAACCTGCAGGTCCTCAATTTACACAACAAATCTATGTCCAGTGGCTTATCTCTGATAAACAGCTCCTTATGTTGAAACATTCCAAGCCTTTAGACAAAGCTTCATGTCTTTAACCAATTACAAGCCAAAGAATCTTTAAACCCACCTATAACCTGTAAGCTCCCCGCCCTGCTTGGAGATGGCCCACCTTTTCGGGCCAAACCAATGTATGTCTCCCACGTATTGATTTATGGCTTTACCTGTAACCCCTGTCTCCCTGAAATGTATAAAACCAAACTGTAACCCAACCTCTGCGAGTCCACTGCTCAAGACCTCTTGGGCGTGGCTCTGGGTCATGGTCCTCAAATTTGGCTCAGAGTAAATCTCTTAAAAATTAATCTCCACATTGTTTGTCTCCTAAACCAGAGATCTAGTGACAGAAAACTCAAGAAGCAGGAAGCCTCTGTCTACCATGCAGATAGAGTGAGAATTTGACTTTTGTTCTTCCTAACTTAGCTTTTGAACAAGGCTTGTAATGCTGAAAACAGAGCTTTGGAAGGGTCACTTGTGGCAAGCATTCAGCAGGGAGAGGGAGAAAAGCCCTCCAGGACTATGGTTAGATGCTCAGTGTTTGAAATAGAAGCTAGTGTTGGTAAAAGTAGGGAGGGCGATGAGAAAAGATTTTTTAAAATTAAAAAGAATTTAGTGATAAGATGTGAGAGGCAAAAGAGAGAAAAATGTCAAAACCCAGGAGATAATATCCTGTAGGTAGCTTCTGGCTTCTCATAAGTACATTCAATTTATATATTTTAAAATCTATATGAGAAGAGGAAGGTGGAGGGAGAGAAAATACGAATTTAAATAGTACTGACAATTATCATTCCTCTAAACGACTGTGTTATTTATTATATTAATATATGGCATATTATATATGTTATGTACTATAATATATACATATTATTACACATATTGTATACACAAAATGATATATGTTAAACCAAATAGGTAATTTAGAAGATTTTCAAATGTAATTTTCCTACACTTTGAATCGAATCTTCATTTCTACTGAAGATGACATTCTACTCTACTATATTGATTTTTGGGGTTTTATTTCATCATTATTTGCTTCTATATTACTTTAGAGGCTGAAATTCCCAAAAGCAGAGGGCGTGGAGTCTGGATGGGGAATGTCCATGCTGCCATGCACTTGCAGAGTGAAATCCTGAGTCAAGTGCAGAGCTGGAGAGGGAGATCAATCACCGAGAATTTGGTTCAAAGTGTCAGAGGATCATTCAGTGGTGTGGGGAAGATTGGTTAACCTGCTATGGGTCAGAGTATATTTATAGCTAGTAAAATATTAAAGTTCCACATAAAGAAAAATCAGGCAAGAATGATAAAAAAAATTGGAAAAAGAAAAGTGCTAAGCCTTGCTTTAGAGGATATTAGATCGCATTAAAAATGTATTTTTTTTTTTTTTTTTTGAGACAGAGTCTCACTCTGTTGCCTGGGCTAGAGTGCTGTGGCGTCATTCTAGCTCACAGCAACCTCAAACTCCTGGGCTCAAGCGATCCTACTGCTTCAGCCTCCCGAGTAGCTGGGACTACAGGCATGCACCACCGTGCCCGGCTAATTTTTTCTATATATTTTTAGTTGTCCAATTAATTTCTTTCTAATTTTAGTAGAGATGGGGTCTCGCTCTTGCTCAGGCTGGTTTTGAACTCGTGAGCTCAAACAATCCGCCCGCCTCGGCCTCCCAGAGAGCTAGGATTACAGGCGTGAGCCACTGCGCCCGGCCAAAAAATGTAATTTTTATAAAGCAATAATTAAAATAGGGAAGTACTAACAAGATAAATATATAGAGCAACAGTATTAAATTAATATATTATACATTAAAAATCAGAAAGAAATATGGAAGAAAATATGAGATTAGGATTTGAGAAGATAGATTATTTACAAAAATAACAGCTAAATTCCTAATTATATATTAAGAATAAATTCCAGACCATTTAAGAATTAAAAATGTGGTATCAAATCATTAAAAGATAGACCAAATAGGTAAATACAATGGTAAAAAGAAATTACAATGATAAAAAGAGTAAGCTAAATATCACAACACACCTTCTTTCTAGCTTTGAATACCTATCATAAATAAAAAAATAAAGGAACATGAAAAACAAGAGAATATGTGCAACAAACTTGGCAGGTAAAGAGTTAATGTTCCCAAAATATAAAGAATATTTACTAGTCAATAAGGAAATAGAATTCTTCACTGAACACTCTCATTCAATCTAGAAAAATAATTTTAATCTCCTACTGTGAGCCATGTTTTCTGCAAGGTATTTCCTGT